TTCTAACCGCCTCCCGGTTAGCTCAATGGATAGAGCGCTGGACTGTTGTGCGGGAGGTCGAGGGTTCGAGCCCCGGCCGGACCAACACTCAGGGTCTTAAAATAATTGAGAAGAATTTGCTACCTTTCTATAACATCAAGAAATGGTTAGATATTCTAGTCTTCTCGGATAGGGACGAATAAATGGAGGTCCCGTCTCCTGCAGGGTTGGGGTAGGAGACGTTAATTTCCCACACACGAGATTACTGTGTGATGGATGTCCTCCCCTGGGGTGGGATGGGTGGGAGGGTGGACTAGCCCGAATGGTTCCTATGTTCCTTTCTAGTCCTTCCCCACTGCAAAACTTAATGCAGTGAAAATGGACTAAATTACTAAATTAAATTAAATTAAAATTAAATTACTAGCCAACTATAAATAAACTCTGCTTGGAAGACAAATTCTCCTTGTCAGCACCTTTCGAAACTTAGAGAGAACAGTATGGAGAATATGCATATTGATGTTAGGGGTGAAAAGAGTTAAGGTCGCTAATATTGTGTTACACTTACCCTGTATGTATTATAAGTGTAATCTTGGAACTGAATATTGGGCTCTTCCTTTTCTTCTTCATGATTTCGTTTTCCTACAATATCAACAAAAAAGCTAAATTGTTTCAATCTTCAATCTACAGAATTGATTTAAGACAGAATTACTTGACTCAAAGTTCAATAATTGCAACTTGACTACTGAAACTATTTAGATTTAATGACACAATTTAAGGTCAAAACAGGATTATCATAGTCCTGTTAATAATTATAATCTTCTTGGTCCAGTCTGACAGTTTGCTCAAAAGTGACTTGGTATTTAAATTTAAATGGGAAAAGATGCAATTTGGATGAGGCCTGAAAAAAGTGCAATTTGCAGACAAATTAAACAGTTGTGAGCCAATCAGAGTGCAAGAATCATCATTGATGCCAAAATGGATGCAAAATAAGAAGTTATCATTGTAAAAAGATAGTTACTGTACTAGTAAATTTTAATATAAAGTCAGCGGATTGAAATCTACTTACGGCCAAATCTGACCAGAGAGAGTTTCATTGTTCCCACGCTTTCTAGAGTTGTGTCAAGACTTTTGGGGACCCAGTGGCTCTGACCGTTTTTCCAAGACATATTCCTTGGCTGACAGTTAAAAAAAAAGAGAAGATATTGCAGAACTTAGAATTACTCAACACTTTTGTAAATAATCTACCAAAAAGTGCATTGAATCTTCTTCAAGGATATTCCTCAATACAAGGAAAGTTCTTCAGTCTGTTGATAAATGTCAGTCTCTAAATTTAAACTTTGTCTTATTTTTCTCAAAAGGTTTACTTTTTTCCACTCTGCCACAAATGCAAGAAGCTGCACTAGTTACGAGCAGTGTACATTTAGCTGATAAGCTTCAAGGATTTATGCCTCCAATTTACTCACTGACTTTAATTCTTCAGTAAAAGAAAAATCACTGTTGTATACACCTGCAATTTTCCTTGCTCCAAACACAATTATTGTGATTGGTTGATTCATAATCACATGACCCTGTATAAATTAAAATGTACACTGCTCATGACGTCCTATGTTATAACTGTCCTATAACA